ATTTAATCACTACCCTTGTATTCACTCGCAGAATATAATCACTACAGTTGTATTCATACAGAGAATGTAATCACAACAGTTGAATTCATACGCAGAATGTAATCACTACAGTTGAATTCATACGCAGAATGTAATCACTTCAGTTGTATTCATACGCAGAATTTAATCACTACCCTTGTATTCACTCTCGGAGTATAATCACTACAGTTGTATTCATACACAGAATATAATCACTGCAGTTGTATTCATACGCAGCGTGTAATTACTGGAGTTGTATTCATACACAGAATGTAATCACTACAATTGTATTCTCATGCAGAGTGTAATCACTACTGATGTATCCATACGCAGAATGTAACCACCAGCGTTGTATTAACTACAGTTGTATTTATACACAGAATGTAATTACTACCATTGTATTCGCAGAGTGTAATTGCTATTGTTGTATTCGTATCCAGTATGGAATTATGTAAGCATCTTTTATTCTATGTTTTTTTTATATTACCTCAAGCAAATAGAAGTGTACATGGAATCATGGGAAACAAAACGGTGTGCATTGCAGTGTGATAACTGTCATAAAGGTGATTGACAGGTCATACTTTACAACTCTGGAAGGACAATTGGAATCTACCGGGGTGCTTGGGATTTACATAAGAAAGGATGTTTATGATATACTGACTTGCGCGAGTGCATGCATGTCATCGCGAGACAGCTGCTAGCAAGACTACTTTCTGATTGGCTCCTGTGGAAACCCAAGTGGTGTATCTGAAACTGAGTCATTTATACTCTATAAATAGGCTAGATTGAGGACAGCTCTGGTTCACCATTTCAATTGAGTACTTGTTGCTGCTACAATATTTTGAGACAAGTGATACAGGCTTCAATCTCCATTCTGTGAGACTTGTATGAACTGCTCTGCGATCTCCTGCTTTCAGTGGTGCCCTCCAGAATAGCAACGTTCCTCTGCAAGGAAGACTCTTGTATCTCGTTGTTGTGTTACAGGAAGCCATTGACTGACATCAATTTCAACACCCTGGCCTGAGTTATCACCAACGCACACTTCCCTTGACAATCCCTATTTTAGGGAATTTATTGTATTATTCTGTGCTTTGTTTTTATCATTATTTTGGGAGGTATTAAAGCCAGACGCTTTAACTTGATATTTTGGTTTATGTGTATTTTATGTCAAGTACTATTATCTTGTCTTCCCTATTTTTAGCAGTGAAGGACCCCTTAGACTTGCTTGCGGTCTGTTGCGATTCCGATGAAAAATTCTTGAAAAATAAATATAAATTGCGTAAACGAGGGGTGAACGCAAAAGTAATGTGAGCGCAAAATCCCAACAGACTTGCCATCAGTGTAGGCGCCCTTACATTACGAAATACTGATTTCATGATACAGTCATCGCGATCTAACTATTGCATTAAGAGTTAACGTATTACGACCAGGCAATGTTTTTGTGAGTCTATAATAAAGCTATGGCTTTCATGTCAGTAATTTTCGTATTTGTATTTATATATTTAGCCTTTCGACGCTATCCTTTACTTCCGTCTTATCCGTTTTCGAGCATCTGTGAGTAACAGTAACAGTTTTGTCTTCATGCTGTGACTGTGACCTATATGCATGAACAAGTAACGTGAATAATTTATTTGCTGAGTCAATTTTTTTGCACATTTCCCTTTTCTTTAAGGTGGGTAAGAAGAAGGCATTAACACATCTGTTATCCAAACATGCCTGTGAGAATCTTACTTGAATAACAAATTGATGGATACTAACAATACCTTGTGGATCTTTTCTTTGTGTGACCAAAGATATAACTAAGACTAAAAATAGATGGAATCAATTCTGATCACTTGTATGAAAAAAATATAGTACAGCATCTTGTCTCAGAAAATACCAATTAACATGTTAAATTCATCCATGTGCTGCATTAATCTCATAACATAAATTGTATGAAATTTGCATTACAACAGTTAGCGAAAAAAGTACACTGAGCTTGCATCCTCTCAGCTGAGATAGCTGTGCTGTTAGCAAAGCACATGAATAAATACAATATAGGTAATTAACATAAATATTATGTAAATTAGCTGATATATGCAATACTATAAATATACTATTAATATTGCTTTAATTCAAATCATAAGATTCATAGCAGAACAGAAGAGAACAAACAAATAAATGTAAAAGTTAGTACAGTTAATTTTTCCGGTGTTGGAAAAGTGCTGACTTCCACTGTATATCAGAGTTATACAGACTCAAAAGCAGACGATTTGACGACCTCTGCCCACGTTCATTAAATTTAAAAATGAGATTACGATAAATACACGGAAACGAATTAATGCGGTTTGTAACGAACATAGTACTAGCGCTACAGTCATTTGGATAACCAAAGAGTCTGCGGAATGCATTATTATAACATACTTTAAGAGCGTTCATGTTCGATTTACAGTAAGTTTTAAATACAATATATTTCACACGATAACTGCATTTGGCGAATTTACGTAACATAATGTTAGCTCTCATACTGAACGACCGTCTCTGGTTGTCAATATCCATATTGTCATTTAAATCCGTAGTCAATACGTGACCGAGGTAAGTAAAGTTCCCAACAAAGTTAATGTCAATACCATATATAGTAATTGCATTCAATATCATAATGGGTCGCATAGATTTCACAAACATGTACAAGTTTTCTCAAACCCCTGATAGAGGGCGCGATCACGCACATATCATCAGCATAACTAAGGTTATTAATTAATGTTTTACCAACTAGGCACCCGCTCATGGTATTATTGAGCTGGATGTTCAATTTATCCACATACACATTGAATAAGACTGGCGACTAACACCCCCTTGTCGCACCCCATTAGATACAGAGAATAGTCGCCAGACAGAATGATTCCATCTGTGATAGAATAGTTTTGCGAGGAATACCAGTTCACAAGAAATCGTACGATGTAAGGTGAAACCTTACGGTCTACTAGTTTGCTAAACAGTGTCCAGTGGTTGACTTTGTCAAAAGCTTTTGACGCATCAAGAAAACAAACAAAGACATTACTACCGAGAGAGTTATAGTGACGAATAAGCTCTTTTAAATCGAAAACACATAAAACCGGAGAATGATTCTTTTTAAAACCAAATTGATTGCTGGTAGTCATGAGGTAGAGTTCACACCTCTCAAGAAGCAAGTGTTCCACTAGTTTTGATATTACTGTTGTTATTGCAATAGGATGGTAGTTGTTCTTGCTGGTCACATCTCCATTTTTGTTCTTCAATTGAAGAAGAAGAGTAACGTTTGACTTATCAGTAGGAATATATCCGTGGACAAACATAGATGAGATACACATAGACAAATGCACATTAACAGACGAGTTGGCATACATAAGATTCTCAGCGCTGAGACCACCAGAGTCACGCGACTTTTGAGTTGGTAGCTTACCGATAATATTCGCAATGTCCGCACTAGATACAAGAATATCGTTATTATCACAGTCAGATATATAGTTATGAACGTTTGCTTTATATTGATCATGCTTCACAGAATTTAAAATAGCTTCAAAATGATCGGCCCACATATCAGCAATTTCTGGTTCACCCGAGGTACCCCCAACCGTTGAGGGCGATGTACCACGTTTTTTTGTATGAACCTTCTTCCAGAAGAATGCACTGCACTCTTTATTTATAAATGATTTTGCAATAGAATCAGCTCTAGCCTGTGCTTCGTTCTTTCTGTAACTACGTAGTGCAAGCTTGAATTTTGATCTTGATGATTGTATCATATGGTGAATGAAACCTTGTCTGGGTTTGCCAGCATCTCGCCACACAAGAAAACATTCACGAGCCATATCATGGGCGTCTTTAACAAGATCATTCCAGTCCGGAACTGGAACAAAACTGACCGTAGATTTAACTTTAAACGACAAATGTTCTGACTTGTTCAGTGCAGCCACAATTTCTTTGTAGAACCGATTAATGTCACTACAATGATTACTATCTTTACAACTAATATCTGAGCAGCAAATGGCTTCCTCTGTAATATCAATGGTTTCCAAATATAGCTCAGTGTGCTTTATATAATTTATCAAATTGTGTGGTTTGGCTTTCGTCCAATCAATGTGCATGTCACGTGGTTTAGCTTGATTGGAGGATTGGCAGTTGGTGTGGATCAACTTTTGGGACTCGCACACAATGGACATTGGCATATGATCAGATGCAACACAGTCACAAATAAAATGGATATCTATAATCGAGCGATGTGCACCAAGACGAAATACAATGGTCTAACCATGAGGTAGTGGAATGTGCCTCACCAAGATATGTAAGCACAGAGTTCGAAATTATAAGACCCATATTTTCACAGAACTCATGGACGTCTTTACCGAATAGCGATTTGGGGTCAGCATTCCAGTCCCCAAAAATACAAACGTTGGGTGTGTCACAATCTTCGACGACGTCAATAATTTTACCGAGGTAATTCATATATTCTTCTAAGTTTTAGGGAGGTACACACGCAGAAGAAACAACATGCTATTATCATTCCGAATTTCAGCCCCAATCAGTCTCGGATCATTATACGTTTTAACCTTAACCAAGTTCAAAAGAGACTTCCGCCAAAGGATGGCTACACCCCCATATGGTCGCCCAACAATTATATCAGTACTTGTGACAACAGCTGATATACCGAGAGAATAAAAGTCATACAGTTGTAGGTTACAAGTCTGAGACGATTTGCCATGGGGACTGAGTTAGTTACGACGATTATAGAATCTACGCACGAGCGCCCCCTCCGGCCACGATTCGGGGTTCATAAGTTTAGAAAAGTCGACAACTGAAGATGAGGAACAGAATGAGGAGTATGTGTCATATTTAGTAACAAATTTATCACATTTAACATAGACTACATTCATGTTTGCCTGGACATATGCTTCAATCATGTCCGCTGTAGTATCAGGACCAAATCTATAGATGAAAATGCTTGCACGCTTATGAATAATAGAGATATTCCCAGGAAGTTTGCAGGTGCCATAAACAACATAATGAGGTCTCTTGCGATAATGAAGACGACGGTTGCTGTCCGCATTATGGTCACGTTGAGGATCAACTGAGTGTAATTTCTATTGTTTGGATGACGTCAGCACATTTAGTGATTCATTAATTAGCGCCTCGGCGTAACTACGATGTCTTCGTCTTTGTCGACGGCTGTGTTGTGTCACATAATTGGCTGAAATCACAATATTTTCGTTATGAGCTTCAATGGCAGGTGTTATTGAATTAACTGTCAAACGATTCTGTTTACTATCCATTTTATCTGATCCGGTATTGACAGTAGCAGTTACCTCAGTATTAGATGATATATCCAGCTTTTTCTTGATAGCACGAATATCATTAAATATATCTTCATGATATTTAGAAATTGCATCCACATAATTTTTTAGAATTGCAATGTCACGTTTTGTGTAAACTGTGTTTTTCAATAGCAAGGAAAGATCAACACGATCAAGGTTGATATGTGGTAGCTTACTCAGGTTTCTAGCAACAAAACACGGAATATGATCAGGTTTTATTTCATGTAGTAGTCCCATGATGTCATTGATGTTATTGACAGACTTTTTTAGTCCCTGCCTTTTGATATTTCGTCGAGTGGTTTGCTCACAACACAACTCATATAACATACATTTAGCTTCATCAATCTCCGAGTCACTATACGTGTCAGTACATAACTTCATAAGCACATCAATGGCAATAATATTCATTTTGTCAACAAGAAAACATAACATTTAATTGATAATAATGCTTGTACCTTGATAGGTTGCATGCGCACTTGAAGATGCTCCATTAATCCAACTATTCACGTCTTCGTCTTTGTCCTCGACATTTCTACTTGGTGGAACCGTTTAGAGTTACAAGTCGTGCATAAATCCAGATTGCCTTTACACTAAGAAACACCACACGAAGCACCACAGTCATTACAGCGTATTCCATTCATCATGAGCAAAAAAATGAGTCTCAAGGAGAAATCAAGGAGATAAGAAACATTTTTAGCAGAGGCGAACGAGAGACGATGGTCACACGATGACGCCCTCTATGCATATACTATCGACACGCGAATAGTTTGTTTCTAAAACTGAATTCACAAAAAACGCATTCATCTGCCCTGGTGGATAGTTGTTTCCGGGGTGTCACGTTCATCCTGAAAACAAACACATGAATTGATAGCGTTGTTGGCCCCGATCGTAAACATGCGTGTTGACGGTGACCAATCTGTCAACCGGGAGCAGTAGAAAAAAACATCCATACTTCATGAATTCTTAGTTTAGAAACGGTCGACTAAAGGAATTTTCAAGTAAAGATCGTGATTGGGATAAAACGACTTTGTTGATACCGGATCACTGACGCCAATCCGGAGGCAAAAAAACAACATTACTGGAAAATGTATTTCATTTGCCACCAAACAGAAATGAAATACAATCAAGGCCAAACTGGTTAATGTATGCTGTTATTTTTGACAACGATCCATCATCAAAAAAAACTGCGTTGTCAATAATTTGTACGAGGTCCAACTCACGCAAAAGTAGCTGCCGTACGCCGTACCATGTTTTGAGCCTTCTCAGGCTCGTTTGTAACCCGTGATCTGATTGGCTGGTCCCTAAACGAGATTTGTATACGCATTGAGTCAGATGTAGTTAGAGGCGACTGGGACACGTTTTTCTAAGAACTGATTAACGGCAAGAAAAAACAATAAATTGACATATTCAAACTAAAATACAAACAAATAATATATAGAGGGTCATAAAAAAATTCGAGTCTCATACCTACATCGGATTTTAATCAGATTGCTCGTGAACGTTCTTCGCGTAACACGTTGACACGTACGCGTCGCCTTATCAAGC